GGAAGCAGGAGCAGGATGAGAGGGGAAGCAGAAGCGTGACGAAACGGGAAGCAGGAGCAAGATGAGACAGGAACATGAGCAGGATGAGACAGAAAGAAGAAGCAGGATGAGAAGGGAAGCAGCAGTGAGACTGTACAAGACTTCCAGCACCAGGACAGGACTAGAAAACAGAACCCTCCATCAACACCAATGTGTAGCATCTACTTGTATCGATAGTAGTGGTCAGGGTTGAGCTCCTCTTGTGTATGTGGCTGATCTCAGAGAACACTGGTGCTGAGTGCTCTGACCTGCCCGGGACTAACTGTTCTGTATCCTTTTCATAATTCAATTTAATTTCTAATTCAGCATTTTTCCTAAAATAGGATTTATGTGACTGTGAGGCAAATACAGCAGAATTATTATTATGAAGCCTTTGACCGAGGGACATAGAATGCAGAGGCTGTCAACCTAAAATAAATGCATCCAATTAATCAAGGACCAGCAAGTGAAACATACTTGTCTTGCAGTTTTGTGGTCTTAAAATACCATAATGATGATTTATGTGATAAATAAATATTCACAAACTGTAGTACTGATTTGCAGCATGGTTAGCATCTCTGCACGTATACAGTGGCCATAAAAAGAATTCACCCCTGTTGTGCTGATCAGTGGTAAGAATTCCAGAATAAATACACTTTCGTTACAAAATGCCAAAGAGTGTGAATACTTTTATAACCTGTGTATTATATACACAGGGCAGAGCGGTGGCTCTGTGCTTGTGACAGGAAGGTTGTCGGTTCAAATCCCACAGTCGGCAGAGGAATCGTACTCCGTTGGGCCCCTGAGCAAGGCCCTAACCCTAGCTGCTCCAGGTGTGCTGTACAATGGCTGACCCTGTGCTCTGACCCCAGGCCTCTCTCCCTGTCTGTGTCTCATGGAGAGCAAGATGGGGTATGTGAAAAGATTAATTTAGTATTATTGTTTAAACTCTGGATATATATTCAACATTATATATATATATTTATTTGGAATAAAGTGATTATCATTAAGGTAGTTCATAAAAAAATGAACAATTTCAAATTTGCACAAATAATAATATCAGATTCAGGAGTTTCCCTCTCCGAATGTAGACTCAAGGTTAAAAAAGAATCTGTTTCAAACATTTTAAGGATATTAAAAACATTGTAAGTATACAGAGTGAAAACAAGTTTCCTGAAATATTGAAATTAAAAATAAAAAGTTCTATATTATCCATCCATTTTCTACCACTTTATCCAATTCAGGGTCACTGGAGAGCAAAGACTATCTTGCAAAGCAATGGGAGCAAGATCGGATTCACTGTGGAAGTGAAGCAGTACATCCCTGCGGCACACACACACACTCAAGCCAGGAAACTGAGAACAAAATACAAACTCCAAACAGAGAGTACCTCAGGTCTGGGTTTGAACCCAGAAGCCCAACAATGAAACTTTATTACTGAAAAAAGCCTTTCATGGTCTTTTGAAAAGAGAACTTTTAGGTAGCAGAATCGGAAGTCTAAATCACAGAACATATGAACTAATTCATATAAGCAACATCAAGAAGTGTAAACTGTGGGAAATAACAAATCGTTAATAAAAAGTAATTACTTCAATTGGCAGATCTATAGGCTGAAGCTGTTCATGATCTCATAGATCACCAATCAGCCCCATATTCATCCACTTACTGTACAGTGCAGTAACCTCTACAACCCCATCATGCAATTCTAATATCGTAAGATTGAACTTAGAGCCAGCCTTTTCCTTGCTTCATTTTAGTGCTGCTTTAGTTTGTACTGTATTATTGTTGTAAAAGAGACTCTGACAGTCAAACCTTTCAGCCTGTAAGATTGATTTCCACCAGCAAAATAATTTCCCAACTCTATACATATAGAGCAAAGGCTGAACACAACTGCTAACACACATAAATCATAAGGCTAGAGGAATGATATAACAAGAGAAAACATGTTTGGAAAAACAGTTCTTCAAAGAAAGTGCCAGAACTATCAGAAGATAACGCATTATTATAATCAGGAAAATAACAAGAACTGTGTTGAAGGCTCTCTTCTTTACAGGATGGAGCTCCTGTCCTCCTGGTCCAGACTCCTTCAAAGCCCTGAGGATATAGATGTTACAGACAGCAATGATTATCAAGACACTGAACTGGATAACTGACAGTATTACTTCCATATAATCTGCTGGAATTATCATCAAAGAGGTGGAGTAACAGACAGTGAAGACCCAAGCAACAGCTGAGCACACTGCTCTCCACTTGTAGTCTCTGAACTCCATGAAAGTAATGGGATGAAGCACTGCCAAGTACAAATCCACACAGACACAGGTGAGGAAGAAAGGGCCGCCTATTTCACTGAAACCCGTGAAAAAGTAAAAGGCCTGTGAAATATTTGTCTGGTTCAAAGAATAAGTGTTGATGATTTCAAGAGGAATCATCAAACAAAACAAAATATCCATAATTGCGAGGCTTGCAGTGAAGATGTCAGAAGTGGAGGAAACAACCTTGTTTTTCAGTATAATCCACAGTACTTTAGCATTGGCTAGCAAACCGAAAATGGCAGTAATGACTTGTGCTGCTTTGAGGAACATCATAGCAGGAGATGCCTGAAAGTCTATTAGCTTGCAGTATACATCTGTCATATTGACTGTGCTGGAGTGGAGGCCTGCAGTAATGTTAATGTGGAAAACATACATTATGAGATGGGGACTCAGGTTTTGCTGGAGAGACGTTCCTGTTGAAAAAGAGAAATGTTTTAATACTGAGACTAAGAATCACATTAATCCATCCTTCCATTTCCCAACCACTTCTTCCAATTTGTTTAGAATTTGTTCAGCAAAACAAAGGCTTTTGAGGCAATGGTGAGGCAAAACATTCTAATTTTGTCAGAAAAGGGAAAAAGGTTTTGATATGTATACACAAAATAATAACAATAATAATTCCTTACAGTTATGTAAGTTATGATCCAGTCAGAGCGCTTTACAAGCAATGGGAACTCCCCCCAAACACTACCAACGTGCAGCCCCACTCAGATGATGTGTTGGCAGCCATAGTACACCAGAATGCTCCCCACAAGCAAAGTATCAGTGGGGAGGAGAACAGAGTGATGAAGGCAGTTCAGAGATGGGGATTATTAGGAGGCCATGATTAGGAAAGGCCAGTGGGAAATATGGCCAGGGTGCCTTTTCGAGAAATGCCCTGAAATTTTAATAACCACAGGGAGTCAGGACCTCGGTTTAACGTCTCATCCAAAGGGCTGCACCTTTTTACAGTATAGTGTCCTCATCACTATACTGGAGCATTAGGAGCCAAACAGAACCGCAGGGTGAGCGTCCCCTGCTGGCCCCATTGTTGGTTTAACAATTGGTCCCAAATACCCTGCACACTCTGCGTAAGGAAGTATCTCGTTTTCTGCCCTGAATGAAGCTGAACTCAATTTAAACTATTATCCCCACCATTCCATGTTACTTAACTGCTACTTCTATGTCCATAGTCAGAGATGATGAAGAGATGCTGAGTTTCAACGGCGTAAAACATGTAACAGCAATTTTCCTATCCTACCTTAATCTCCATATTTTAATGCACTACCATGGACAAACTACAATATGCCATGATAAATGTTTCCATAGTATGCCATGGTGTTCCCACGGTACAATGTAGTGAAAGCATGTGAAACCAAAGTTAAAATATTGTAAAACCATAGTAAAAATGTGAAAAGACATTACTATCACATATTTCCTTCCATAGTGCCAATACTAGAGTATAACAACAAAGAAAGTAAATTGTTCCTTACTAGTGTAATGATTCATAGCCAAAATGTAAATGTAGTGGCTCTCTGAAGGCACCAGTTCTGTAGGGTTTGGGCATTTACTGAGACAATTATTAATTGTAGCAGTAAATCACAAAGTTGATTCTTTTGATGGCTTTAGAATCCAACCATGCGACATAACTCAAACAACGCACACACACAGGTACTAATACACGAGGATACATTTATTAATACATAGAATATGCATGTAAACCTAACAGATCTTATCGAGAGGGTTATCAGAATACAAAAGATATATATTCAATCAGTTACGAAGTGTTACACATATCAAGAGGACATATGTTCAGTATATCATTCATTTAGACCGTTTCGTAATTGAACTTGGTTACAACTTCTACATTAGATACTCAAACAAGTACATAACTCTTAGGAATTAATTTGATATCAACTGGTTGGGATAACAATTGAATTCTTGAGCTGTAATGCATTGAAGTTGAATACTCATCCAATTTCTGGGGATTCAGATCTCCTGCGGGCACAAAGAAACAGTTGCAGGCTGTTGCTGTCCAATCAGCGTTCTCTGGCTCGGTGCCAGGCTGTGCTGTGCGGCTTGCGACGGTGCGCTGCTGATGCTCACTGTTGGCTTTAACTAGCAAAGTTTGTGCACAGGAAAAAAGATGACTGTGGGTCCCAGCAAGTCAGGAAGAGGACCGGTTCGTTCCTGATGAAGAGCTAGTTCTGAAAAGTGATTCAGCTTTCCACAGTTCTGACCTGTTCACGAGGCTTGCTGCTGGTGCTAACCTCGGGTGGATCCTCTGGTTACTCTCTGGCAACCTCCGCTCTAGACTCTTAGAACAAAGGAAAGTTCTGGCACTTGGACACACTGGCCGTTCCGTGGTTGTCCGGGCTGAGTCTCAGGATGGTCAGGAGGCGCGCTGCGAGAATGTCCTGCCCTTGGGAGCCTTCTGCTCCTGGGCCGTCCTGCCCTGGAATTCTCCTTTGAATTCCCTTTAGAACAGTCCACAGAATTCTCCACTGAATCTTACTCAATCTCTCTCTGTGTTGCCTGTTTTTACCTGGAGGAACTTCAGCTCATTGATTGGCTGAAAATTCCATGGGCATCAGAGTCCCACGTGGGTTACTCGGCCCTACCAGTCCCTGATTGGTTGATCAAGGTGAGATATGAGTCACTTACTCCTGACACTTAGGAATGCAGTCCAGATGTCCAACTGGCACTCCCTAGACAGATAGGCACCAATGGATGACCATTGATCATGATAGCCAGGCTTAGCTAAGTGCATCCCCCTTTGGGAGTTTGTTTCTTATCACAAGAAAACACCTTAAATCAGCCTGCATGAATAGTTTCTCTGTGGCTGCACCACAGAGATGAACAGAGAAATGGGGCCTCATTTGGGAAGGCTCAGAACACTTAATTCTTTCTTATTAATAAGCCTTGCCGCTACACTAGTTAGCGTGCTCTGCGGATTTCTGCTGAAATGGTTTTCCTGGAGAGTGGATAGATAGAGAGTGGATAGATTTTAAAGTCTGCTATCTCTCCTCTTTGGGCTGCATTAATGAGCTTCTGACACAGGATTGTTTATCCACCCTGTTCCAGAAACGACAGTCGGATCACCCAATCACATACAAACAGAGCGAGACTGTAGTTATTAATACAACCCTAAGATTACAGAACAGAGACTTTACTCTTCTCAACTACACTTTTAAAATAAAGTAACACTATTTTAAATACAGGTTAAATTATGTCTTATTAGTTTCAAATTATGATTAACTCAGGTTTTAATAGAAAATTTGTGTTATCATGTGGGAATATTAATTTAGTTCTGGACTGGAAATTTTGGACACTTCTGTAATCAATTGGAAAATATCCCCATTGATTTTCATTTCTAAGTTCTATAAATAAAATGTCCTTTTCATCTCATCCATCCATTTTCTAACCCCTTTATCCAAACTCAGGGTCGTGGTGGGAGCTGGGACCTATCCCAGCAAGCAACGGGTGCAAAGCAGGGTACACTCTGGACAGGATACCAGACCATCGCAGGACATATTCAAACACACTCACACCAGGACCAGTTTTCCCAGAAGCCAGCTAACTTACATGTATGTCTTTGGACTGTAAGAGACCATGTGAACACAGGAAGAACATACTGTACAACACCCCAGGATCTGAATCAAGAGCTCCAACACTGTGAGGCTGCAATGCTAACCACTGCACCACTAGGCCACCCGTGTCTCTACCAAATAAGTTTAAATTCAAACAATATCACAATTGCCATCCTCTGGCACGAAAGCAAATGAAAATGCAAAGGTATTTTCAGTTTCTTCTCTTCTCAATTGTTTTTAAATTTTCATCCTATAAACCTTGTTGTTTATTAAATGTTTACTCAAAGCGATACAAAATATGTAAAACAACTGTATAACTTACTGTATGTGCTTTTAAAACCTGACAGCTGCGCTCCTCTGTATAAATATCCCTTTGTGCAGGTGTATGAAAACAGAATGTGAAGCAAGCCAGTGACCCAGGAGAGGAATGAGACAGCTCTACACAACCGCAAGGAACTGACAATTAGGAAAAAAGTGGAAAAGTTACATAGAAGAATGAGCCACAACAATCCACCTTAACAATAGCAGCTAGAAAGCTGCATGGATTTTTCCATTCAGATCATCCATGTTTAATAAATTAAAGAGAAGATTAATATATTTGATGAAATAATATAAAATATAACTTTTTTTCAAACCATCATAACTGATGATGATAAACAAAAGGTGCAATTGTGATAAATACAGTTATTACAAGCTGGGCAATAAAAACAAATCAAACAAGTTCAATAAAGAAGGCAAAGTTTTAAATAATAGAATCAGGTTCTGAAACCAGCTGACCACAAGAAGATTCTCAACATTAACAATCACACAGGCTCTGTTACCAGGGGATACTGAGCAGAAACACTTCCACGCACTACAAGGTAGCAGAGTAATGAAAAAGGCAGAAATTTAAAAAAGATCAAGAATTATTTACAACATTTACAACAAGTCCTGGCTTCCTCAGAGCCAGTAAATACGAGCCAGGAACCATGTTTACTGAATAAAACACCCTGCACAGGACAAATTACTGCCAAAAAAAATGAAAATCTACTTCAATTACAAAGCAGTACATCAGATTAGAGAAGTTTCCAAACTTTCCAGTCCAGAACTATATTAATATCCCCACATGATAACATTCCCTTTCCTAAACTGCTCATATTACCTGGTAGATTACACTGAGTGATAGTACAGTGTAATAGCCATCTGGCCTTGAAAAAGGTGGGGTCCTATTCCCGGTACTGCTTTTTCATCAGTCGGAGGTTCTGAGAGAGAGAGAGCAGAGTCCCTGTTATGCCAGACTATCACCAGAAAAGCTTGGCTTACTAATCACCCAATATTCGTCTGATAATTTGTAAATGCCATTAAATCTGCCTGGTCATCTGGCCTCTGGTTACACCTCAATAGCTCCAGTTACAGGGCCCCAATCAGACTGGTAATTAAGTTACCAAAAGGCCTGCAAGGCTCTTGTGCGGGCTTGAGTTAGCTGGTGTGTGTTTAATGAACAAATTAGGAGCAAGTATGATATCAATCATATCTGAATCACAAACATATTGCTACTCCAATCACTGCACACCCTCCTCAGAGACTCTGGAGTGTTTGCATTCGGTAACATCAAATGGTTGTAATAGTGGGTTGTATCATGGTGCAGAGGTGTTCTTGTTGCTTCAGACTGTAACAAGATTAGAAAATGATAATTCTGAGGATGAGAATGTAAGCAAACCTGACTATGCTTACCAAACCCCCAACCACAGACACACAATAAGCAGACAAAGTCTCTTCCATGTTGCTAATCATCCTTTGCCTTTCTTGCTTCTGTTCTTATGGTTCTACAGTATCTCTACATTCTTTGGTGGCTGTTGACAAGAGAATGGATCCCATTATCGATGGGCTGGGAAAGGCTGCCACCAGTGGACAGGGGAGGTAAAAGGCTTTTGATTGTGGGAGATAAAAACTGATTTGAAGAGTGTAGAGGCCTTTGTGCTGAATCTGTTCATTTCAAATTTGATGTCATCTAAAGCAAAATGCTAGTCAAATATAGTTTGAGAAATGGCTGTCTTTGAACACCTGCATAATGCTCTCAGTTTCCTAATAAATTTGTTTTCTTTACTTTCTAGATTTTGACATAACCAAAACACCTACTGTAAATAAGAGTAGCTGATTGGTTGCCAGTCACAATGGTAAAATTAATGGACTCACAGGTGCAGGCAAATGTGTTCCAGTACTGAACCCTAATGTACTTGCAACAGTAGCTAAGGATATTCAGGCAATTCTTTTATTAATCAAAACACATAATGAGGAGAAAAAAATTAGCTAAATTTTGGATGGACCGTGTTAATCATAACATGAGTAAATGAGATCTATCACATAAATAGTACAACCTAAATGCAGTCAGAACATCTTTGATTACCTCACCTCCTCTACATTGATATCTACAATCTGTAGCACTGCATATACTGTAGGTTTTACCACAGTGATTTCCATATACTGTACTTAACATGATTTAACTGGTTATTAATTATATAATTTTTCAGTGGGTCTGTTCAGTTACAGAACGTGTTTTGTATCGTGCTATATTGTATTTGGTATTTAAGTGGTATAAAATATAACACATCTTGTCTCAAATAATTTAAATGATCAGTTCATAAATGATAATGAATAAATAAAACTTTCATGTAGCACCTTTAAAAGTGGCTTCTGAAAGCACTTTCTATTGAAAAAAACAATGAGAGGAGAGAGCAGAATTACACAATAACAATAAGGGTTTGGAATACAGTAGGAAAGCTACTAAATAAAAGGCCTTTTAAAGAGGACAATTTTGAATATAGAAATCTGGACATACTGTAGTTTGTTTAATGTGGATTTTGTTTTTACATTGCACATGTCGGTCAAATATCAAGCCTGGATCAAATCTCACCCCCAAGCTTTTCAATTAAGATTGAAATCCAAGTACAGTACCATCCACAAATAGGGCTACTTCTTTGGCTTTACATAGTTAATGGGAGGTGCTGAGAAGCAAGACTTCAGTCTTGTCACAGTTTAGCTGAAGGACATTATAGTCATCCATGTTTTTATGTCAGAGATACAATTAGAGCAGATACACTTCAGTGTCAGGATTATTATGGACATAGATTTTAGTATCATCAGCACAGAAACAGCTGAACAGTACATTCCAAAATGTTTGCAAGAAAGGGTAGGTTTGATTTGGTACAGGGGTAACTACAGGTGTTTTAAAGGCCATTGTTACCACACCAGTGCTCAAAGACCCAATTATTACGCAACAGGGCAGAGAGTAGAAAAACAGGGTTGAAATAAAACAGTGGGAATGGGATCTAACAGATAGGTGGTAGATTTCTTATGTGATTCTAAGGTAAGCAGCAAAACTAGGCATGCAGGGAGGAGGTGTGGTGGTAGCATGTTGTAGAACGTTGTGCCGGATGTTGTCAATCTTAGAGCAAAACAGCTCTAAGAATGTATATCTAGAAAGAATAAGATAAGTTAGAAATTACTGAATCCTGTGTGTGACTTTTGTTGTGTGTTGGGCTGAGAACAAGCTGTTTAAAATCAAATCAAAGCATTCCAGAAAAACTAGCCTATTCTTAGCTTAATGGGGAGCTTAAGCTGTGTGAATCAACATGGATATTAAAATCACCAAGAATGAGTGCTGTCTTAAAAATGAAAAAAAAAATAAAGCAAATTGGCAAACTCTCCTAAAAAGTCATTATTAAGCTTGGGGAGTCTATACACAGTAACAAAAATAGTAGAGTGGGGAACAGAGACATTTAAAAAAAGACAGTCAAAAGAAGAGAGGAGAGGTACAGTAACGGAACTGGAGATTATGCAGATTCAGCCATTAAGAATGAATTTTGCACAATGAATAATGCTACATATCACATTGCACCACACTTTTTAAAAACGATTCTGATGCAGGACTGCACTTATTTGTAAAACCACCAGGTGGCACAGTGAATGCACGTTTTGAGTGATGAGTGTATTTGGGCTGTCACCCAAAAACACCTGGTTTTTGGGTGACAGCCCAAATACACTCATCACTCAAAACGTGCATTCACTGCATTCACTGCTCAGCCCTATAGGGACAATCTTTTTCCAATTATAGAATTTAATTTGTATACTTGTATACTTTGTATATTACAGTATGTTAAATATTGCATTAACATTAAAAAAGAAAGTATGGCCGTTTAACTAAACAAAATTACTCTGCCAGATATATATATATATAAAAATAGTTTATTATAGCTTTTTGTGAACGCAATCTGCTTTTTTAAGGTTTACATCCACATTAAAATAATCTTTATTTTATCTTAATGCTAATTTCAGCAACAAGTAATGAGGAAACAATTTTACTGAAATTTAAAAATATTTCAAACGTACTGTACTGTAGTGCATTTAAAACCAACAGTATCATACTGTATTTACTGTTTGGTATATTTATAAAGTATACTGATTATACTACAGTTCCTTGTATGCTATTGTTTCAGCATTAACTGTCAATATGACTAATTCACCCATGTTGCACATTGGAAGTTGTAGTCTTTCTTTACATAATTAATTCATGTGGCTGACATTTTATAACTACAGTACAGTACACACACTGTGAAGGAAAGAGACCATACCATCTTACAATAATAATTGAGTACAACCATCTTTAATTGCACAAATAATGTGCTGTAGAAATTAGCAGTTGTGCTGCCAGTAACTGTTATGCTGTGGAAAGCATTTTTAGTTTATTACTAATGTAAAAAAAATTTTTGTTTGTTTTTGTCATTTTTTAAAAGATACTAAGAGTCAAACAGGCCAAGTAAGTGCTTTTTTAAACTAAGCATGTCATCTAAACAAATTCTGATGTTCTGATTCACTCTACAGGTACAGAAAAGGAATGTGTTACCAAAAGCATACACAATTATCAAAACATAGAAGGTGAGAAGACTGTTTAATTTACAGCATTATGCAGTGACGTATTCATGTGATTTATTATATGTATTTTTATTAACATCACACTCCCCTGTTAATTTGTTTTATTGTTTTACAAATGTGACAATATAAGACAGAACAAATGCATTCTTGAAATTACATTCCTGAAAGTCTCCCACTGTGTTCCACAATCAGAAATACACAAGAAAGTCTGTTAATAAAATTATCACAACCTTTTTCAGTTAGCTCTTCCTCCCAGAACCTGTTAATCATTGCTATGATGAGATGTTGTTTTGGTGTGTTCCGAATACAGTCTTTGAGGAAGCGCAAAACGATTAAATAATGGTGATTAAGTAATAAAACAGACTTATTTATCCATAATACATATCATTTTCTTTCTTTCCCACCCTCTGTGTGCAGAGGATATTTAAGGTGATTCGATGTTCCCTCAAATAATATGCTACTTAATTTGACTAGTTTTTCCAGTGTATTACAATCAATGATAGTGATGTTACCAAACCAGCAAGTGAGACAGTATGTTAAGACACTTTTAAACAAATGTTTTAGGGTGGTTCTATCTACCTTGAAATAGTTTAGTTTCTGTTGTCCTTTTTTATAAATGGTATCGCAGCATTTGTCTTTTTGTCTAGGTTTTATCTAGGTTTCTTGACCAGTCCCAAGTACTTGTAGTTGTTGACAATTTTTACAGTCTGACCATTAATTACAGTAGGTTGGAGGGGTGTTGCATTTGTCCTAAGATCAATGACCAGTTCCTTTGTTTTTAAAACATTCAACTGCAAGAGAACTCATCACACCCATTTAGTAAAGTAATTTAGAATGGGTCTATGATGGTTTTCTGGGCCCTTTATAAACTGACTGGGGCTGTGTCATCAACAAACCTAGTGAAATAAAAGTGTTTGCTTTTACAAATTTAATACATTTATTATACAAAAGGTACGGCAAATGGGATAAAAATAAGAAGCTCTACTCAGAATAAAATACATTTCTAATTAGGTTTAGTCAAAAAGGAGAACCTTTCTCCATATTCCAAAAGGTGCATCCATATACAGAGAATGTATTTCTTTTGCCTGGTGAATATCAAGGTAAATAAATATTCCCATAGCTACAGTATAACAGATCCTTTCATAAGTTTCAAGATTTCTTTAATAAGTTCTAAGATTCTTACAATCATACGTCTTTTGGTGCTTGAATTATGTGGTACATTTCTTAAGGCTGGTGTGTAGTAGAGGAACCCACTCAGTGCAGTTTCTTAAGTGGCCAGAGGATAAGAATGGAGCTAAGTGCAACACAGAGTGTTTTACTGTATCATCTCCCAAAAGGCTGGCATACTGAACCAGGTCGTTTTTAATTTGTAGAATTCCTAACTATCTGTCCACTGACCAAGAGCACTTTCTATTCTCCTAATATTCCACTGCACGGAACAACATCAATCTTTTAAAAAAGGTTTAAAAGAATAGCAGAATAGAAGCCTTTATGGTGAAATTAATTTAATCAATACCCTCATAGAAATAAAAAGACATGTAAGATTTAAACTAAAATAATCTAATATACCTATATATTAACTTATATTTCTTTACTGGTCTGATTTAAAAACATTTAAAAACTTCACTCACCCTCTGCGTATATCTCTTTCCCCTTTGTAATACTGTGTTCACTGTTTCTATCTTTATAGAACAGGGGTGCCCCAAATTCTTTAATGTAAGACCTACGTTTTCATTTGCCAGTCCAGCGCAATCTACCAGTGTGAATTTGAAGCTCTGATATAGGAAAAACAGACTGTGGGAACATCAGTACAATAACGATACCCATCAGTAAAATGACAGCAAATACAAGCAAGTGACTCATGTTACAGTGAACCAGTAATTTTTTCCCATTTTAGAAAATAGAATATCCTACCTTAATGTGAGCATTGGCACTAAGAAGCTTTCTTGAGAACACTTGTAATTTTTTTGGAACACTGTTGACACTGCTGATCATGTCGATGACATTTTTATTTTGTCCCTGCAGCTCAACATTCAGCTCATTTAACAGTTCAGTTGAGTCTGTGAGGAATACTAAATCCAGAAGCCACTGGTCATCTTCACCATATTTAGATGACATGAGAAACTCTTTGATTTCAGGCAACAGCTGTTTGAATTTCGCCAAGAATGTTTGTTTTTGAAATTTCCAAACAGCAAGTCAATAGCCTCAACAAACACTTTTTTTATTACTTCCTGATCCCTGAATGACTTTTTGTGTTTAGCCAGGATGTGGCTCACACAGAACGTTGCGATGATTGCCGCTTTTCCTCTTTGAAATGCTGTTCTATATTTCCCTTTTTCACGTAGACACTAGCATTGCAGATTTGAATGCGAAAGTACAAAAAAATAATCATGGTCACATTCCTTGTGGTAATGGTAAGTTTTCGGTCTCTTTGCTTCATTATTTTAGCTAAAACACTACAACTATCAAATAGGCAATCAAACTTATCAAACTGCCGGCGAAGTTGTCACGGTCGGTCTGTTTCGCTCCACTATGCACTAAATAGTGCAATAACCAAGAGACCATTCTTGGGTAGCGTACACAACACTATTTACGGTGCTCCTGTAGCCTTTTTTTCAATGTCAGCCAACGCTCAGGGAAGAGGCTTTTACAACCCATTCAACAGGGTTTAAACACACACAAGGGCAGTAAAATCTAGAAATTACATGCACAGATCTGTATGAATCTGTAGGCTATCAAAAAAGTAATCAAATAGCCCATTTATTTTTTGCCAAACATTACTTCCATCGACTGGCAAGCACTCTGAGATCGACTGGTCGATCACGATTGACTGGTTGGGCACCCCTGTTATAGAATGTCAGCTTTCAGCCATAACACAACTTCCCTGTAATCCTGTAGTACTCTACACCTAGAGCAATCCCCCTTTAGAGGTTACAGAGAGACTATTCAAATCAGACATTATGCAATGACCAACAATCAAGACTACAATGTACAATTGTTTTTCCATCCAATACTAGAACCTACCTGATCCTTGGAAGAGTCACTGTAATGGGGAGCCCATGCTCGAAGTATAAACATAAGGAGGGATTCCTTGACAGCCAGAATACATGTGCAACACCTAGAGGGTATCCAGTAAGCACAGCTGAGTTCTTATGTTTGTCTTCTGGTGTGTAAGTGGAGTAACTTCTTAATTTATATTTCTCGTTAGTACCATTCAGTGGGCTAATCCCTTACAATAACTTATGCAAATTTTCAATCCTTTCCTTAATCTTTAGGCAAATGACAAATCCTTATGAAAGTCAGTGCCTTCACTTTTTAGTTACTGTGCATCCATCCATTTTCTCTGCTTCAAACAGTTCAGGGCAGCAGGTGAGCAAAAACCTATCCCAGCAAGCAAATGGCATAAGGCAGGATACACTCTGGATGGGACGCCAGTTCATTGCAAAACACACACAGACACAAACACACATACACACTCACACTAGGGCCACTTTTACAAAAGCCAAATAATCTATGACTGTTATTAAGACTATGGAAGATACTCCATGCAGGAGTTGAATACACCCCAGGAAGTGAACCTTGTGTCCCAGTGCTAACCACTGCACCATCGTGCAGCATTTTTAGTTACCTGTCACTGATGTATACCTATCTGCGTGAGGGAATGTGGAACAGAAAACAGGTGTCCTTTTTGACAATGATCATGGGAACTAAAAGCCATGGGCTTTGTGTAATTGATTGACGCTAATTGTGATTTCAGAACTTTCATGAGAGAAAGTTTAATGTATACATGTTAACTTCATTATAAATAACACTTTCAATATTTCTGGTCATTGCCAAGGTTACATATTCTCCCACCCGTGTTTATATATAAACCTTCTCCTTTGGTGTCTCTCCATTGAAGAATTATTCAAATGTTTGGAATTGAGCGAGATGGAATCTATATTCAAATACAACCAACAACTTAGCCATTACTTTCCACTCTAAGTGTGTGGTGTGATTAAAGCTGATAATTAACAACAACTGTAGAAATTGTTTTAATAGTCATGTAATATTTAGCCATCTTTTAAGTTTATGAATGTACACTAGATGTGCTATTTATGTATCATCGTCTATGCCTTTTAACCCATTACTAGTATTTTTCTTGTAATGTAATAATTGATCAGACATTTGTGTTTATCAAGGCAGATTGCATCATATATTCACTCTTATGCTGGTTCATTTTGAACAATTTATCATTGGATTAGCAAACGCAATGTACTGTATGTTGTTTGAATTTGTAATTTTTTTTGTTCCACTCAACAGATACATAGTAGCCATAAAGTACTCTTGGAATTTGATTCCTAATTGTTTTACTAAATTCAAGCCATATTTAACTGTATAGTTTAAAATAAATATATGAAAGGTTATCTATTTGGAATCAGCCAGTACTTTACCCTGGGCCAATCTAGTAGCAGGTATACCAGCAAAACATACATTACTGCAGAGTGTCAAAAGCTGATGAGTTGGGTTGATTGCCATTGAAATAAAAGAAATGTCTAGAACATATAGGAAACTCAGTGTTAACTCTATGCAAATAATATATTTTCTAATTATGTTAATTTCCATTCCTCCAGTTCAGCAAGGAAATATCTTCTCTTGCTGTTTGTGATATTAAAATGCCAATAGGGGGTACTTGAAGATTTGTGTGATAAAACTTCTGCACATATTGGAATTCTGATTTGATAGCAATGTGGTTACTTGAATAAATACCACAGTATGAATTCAGGTGGGTAACTGCGTCAGTATGCGTAGTCTGCAAAGGAACAAGTAATAGGCTTATTCCATGCTGAAAAGAGAAGAAAGAAAACACAATGTTTCGGCCGTGGAGTCTTCTTCACACCTGAAGATGGCTCCATGGCCGAAATGTTGTGTTTTCTTTCTTCTCTTTACACCACAGTATGAACTTGAACTTGAACTTGAACTTTATTGCCATATGTAACCGGTACTGGTACAATGGAATTCTT